GTATTCGAATGCGTTTTTTACCACCAGCTTTTTTCACCGCTACACGGGCTGTTTTTAATAAGGTCGACACATCATCAACGTCATTAATTTGTTTCTTCAATTTTTTTAACACAGCTTTTTGAAGAGTTGTTTGCGTCTGCGGTTTCTTCTTCTTCGAATTCTTTCTTTGTAGTTGCAAACTCATCCCTAACTTTCTTTTAACTTTCATTGCATTCGTTACGAACCAAGCACTTGCTTTTTCTCCTAACGAAGCGTCTGATGCTTTGACACGTGCCCAAGCCTTGTTTTCTAAAATTTCGTCTGCTTTATGTCTTTCTTTCAGATCTTTAGTTCGTGAATATGCGATATCGTGCTCTTTACAACTTCTATCTAGCTCGTTAATTCCAGGGTCGCCGCGTTCAAGCCTCTTCGCAAGCTTAGTACCCGGACCGCAATATTGATAACCAGGTAAATGTAATTCGACAGGTAATTTGTTAATGAGACTGTTAACAAGTCCTTTACCTTTGATGACTAACATTGAACTGAACAATCTTTATAAAAACGAACACTGTATATATATTTATGTTAGTATAAACAATGAAGATCGTTAAGCAGCACACGATCCTGTCAGTGAAGAATCACGATATTTCTGAAACAAAACTACAACCATCACGACATGGGGAACTCTTTCCTAATACCGTTCGTGCAATTATAGCAGGACCATCGGGTTCTGGGAAAACTAATATTCTGCTATCCTTGATTTTTGATAAAAATGGATTGAAGTTTGAAAATGTGTATGTTTATTCGAAATCGCTTTTTCAACAAAAGTATCAGCTGCTGCAGACGGTTTTAAAATCAATCAAAGGAATAGGATATTTCCCATACGATGAAGACGCCAAGATTGTGGATCCTTTTAATGCAAGACCAAATTCGATTTTCGTTTTTGATGACGTAGCATGTGATAAGCAAAATATTATAAGATGCTACTTTTGTATGGGTAGACATAGAAATATAGATTGCTTCTATCTTTGTCAGACCTATACTCGGATTCCCAAGCATTTGATACGCGACAACGCAAATTTTTTAATATTACTACAACAAGATGAAATGAATCTGCGACATGTTCATCGAGATCACGTGGGTACAGACATGACGTTTGATAAATTTCTCAAAATTTGTCAAGAATGTTGGAAGGACAAATTTGGATTTTTAGTAATAAGTAAAGAAAACAATCTAAATAGCGGACGATATCGAAAAGGATTTGACAGTTTCATTAAGATATAAAGAGAGAAACATTAATTTCAACGATCCAGTTTCAATTTGAATAGGTATCATGAGCGACGTTAAACTAAAGCGACGCCTTACTGCAATATCTGATGACATTAGAACAAAACATAGGGCTTTGAAGTTGGGAATACAAGAGCATGATGAATCACTAAATAAACTATTTCAACCTATAGTGGAGCCTATAAAGACAGTTTCCATGAAATTAGAAAAGAACCAGCTCCAACAACAACAGCAGGCTTTCGAACAACTTCTCGAACAACGACGAATACATCAAGAGCAGCAAAACCAACAACGCCAACATTTAGATAAATTGCAACAAATACAAGAGCAGTTACCACTACTCAAAGAAGTGCTACCAACAAGAAGTACTACTGCTAAATCTGAAACAGAATTTCCTGAAGTATTCGAATCAAACGGACAACGTCGCAAAAGTTATGGACGTGAAGGCAATCGCAAGGACTTGTTGTTTCAACGACATTTACCTATGAGCGAAGAGGTATTTGAAGCAAAACCCGAGGAGACGAACGAAGATGACGATAAAGATGACAATGATGAAGGAGAAAAAACGAACCAACAAGTTAAAAATGAACAATTTACGGAAGAGGTTTTAAACAACTTTATTGAACAGTTTCCTGACGTGGCCCAATTATATGTTATGCAAACATTATTACAGAAAGGCGACACTCTATTTGGACCAGTCATAAATCCAGCTACCAATACCTTTTACTTTGGTGACTCGTTGTTGCATATTAACTCAAATAGTGATTTTACACTCAATGATAAATCGTTCACGGGTACTGAAGGATTGTATCAGCTATTATTTAATACACCCGAAAACATCGACAAGAACATAGTAACCGAGAATGATTTTCATAATTATAAGCAAATGTTGGAAAGTGCAAATGTTTATCGAGCAGGAACAAATCTTCGAAAAGAAAAAAGAACAAGTTTAAAATTCCTTGACGTTATAAAGCCGCTTTTCTCAAACAGTCCGAAAAAAAGAAAATCACCTAAAAAGTCTACTAAAATCACTCCCGTGAGAACTAGAATCTCGACGCGTAGTACTACTAGTAGCACATCTAGTAAAAAAGGGGGTGGTGCTTATAAGATTTCTCATAACTATCCTGTGGAATATGTTTATTGGGATGACGTGAATGAGCTGGTACAACGTCTCAACCTGCTACATGCTGCAAAGAAAGCAGGAAGTGATTGTCATTTGAATGAAATTAGAAACATCGAAGAAGAATTACGAGAACTTCATGTTATTGTTTAGTTTAATCATGAGTGTCGACAAGTTCGGTCGTTCATCATCATCATCATCAATTTATAGACTATACAGAAAGCGACAACTTTTTGAACATCCAAGAAATACAATACGCTACACTGAAGACGGCAATTTCGACATGGAAAATCGTAAATTGTGCAATGTTCAAGATCCGATCGAAGAAACGGACGTAACGACCAAAAAGTATGCCGATAAACTTCACGAAAATGCCATTTTACGAATCGATAAATTCGGCAGTGTCTTGACAGATGCGAAAAAAGCTTTTTTGAAAGCTGAAATAGATTTAAGCAAAAAAGTATCTGATCTAGATAATCAAATGACCATTACCGTTGATGAAATCGATAAAAAGTGGATTAAGATGTTAGCTGACTACGAAAAATTGTCTAATAGATTGAAACGATTACAGAAGGATCCTGTGCCTGATGAAAAGATTAAAAGACTGCAACCTCGAGCGGTGCAGTCAAAATGACCTCAACCACATTCAGGGGTTTATCTCGATTAATAAAGAGATCGCAAAACGAATAAACAAACGCCCAATAAAAATAATAATAATTGAGCATTGTCCTCGTACTATACACGATGGTTCGAAGTAAAAATGTTACTGTAACCGACACGAAAAAACAAGTGGTAGACGAAATATTTAAACTTGCGAGAAAAAATTTTAAAAGACGACACACGGTTATAAATGGATTTGACGAACTATGGCAAGCTGATTTAGCCGATTTTCAAAGTTATGCAAAAGAAAATCATGGTTATAAATATGTCTTAGTTGTTATTGATTGTTTATCTAAATTCTTATGGATGAGACCTTTAAAGACAAAATCCGCATCTGATGTCAGTAGAGCTATGGAATCAATATTGAACAAAGGAAGAAAACCCACGCTCTTACAAACCGACCAAGGTAAAGAATTCTTTAACGCACAATTTTCTGATCTAATGAAGAAAAATAAGATTATCCATTATCATACGTACAGTGTAAAAAAGGCGGCTATAGTTGAACGTGTAATTAGGACTATCAAATCAAAATTATATCGTTCATTTACTTTAACTGCTTCATACAATTGGACTAATAAATTAGAAAATATTAATGCAGAATATAACAAGACAAGACATCGCATAACTGGAAAAAAACCTATAGACATCAATAAACAAAACGCTCATGAAATTAAATTATATGGTATTAATCCAAAAGCTGAAACTAAACATAAATTCAAGGAAGGAGATATAGTTCGTGTCAGTAAGTTTAAACATATATTTGAACCTGGTTATAAACCTTCATGGAGTACTGAATTATTTAAAATCTCTAAAGTAAACGCTACTAATCCTACAACTTATGTTTTGAGAGATTTTCAAGATCGACCTATTAAGGGATCTTTTTATGAGCCAGAATTACAAAAAACGAAAAACATTGATGTCTTTCTCATTGAAAAAGTACTGCGACGCAAAGGAAAAAAATTATTTGTCAAATGGTTGGGACTACCTAAAAACCAACAGACGAGCTGGATTTCAACAGAAGATTTGCGTTAGTATCTATTAAGATGGCACAAAGTCCAGACGCTATCTTGCAACGAGCTATTCATTTCGAAGAGACAATCCGACAAATACGCGAAATAGTAAAAATCGAATTATTAAAACTTCAACCTCTTCAGCTGCTAGACGTCTTTCCGATGTTACCTAATTTTTATGCAAAGGATAGAGACATCAAGGGTTCTTTGCCATGTGTAGAACATTATAATTTTTGCCATGAAGATGTAAAAGATGGACCACCTTCAACGAAAAACCAATGCCCAGAGTGCTTAATCCAACGACAAAGCTGAAGAAACGAATTACTGCTCTATTCATATTTAAGTCAATATATGTAACTATGAAAACATGACTTCCTACCTATAATTTGTATAGACCCTTTTAAAAATAAAATCGCAATAAAAACCATTATTATTATTATTATTAAATATTCAATCTATTTTAAAATAGTATTTAGTTCCCATACGCTGTGCATGCGAAATTTTAATGTGCCAACTGCACCGTGTGTGATAAGCTGCAGGAAAAGGCCGACTCGGCGGCCCCTCCTCCACTCGAGGTCATACAAACACACACGCATAAATACGATTGACAATACGCTCTATTCAGGGTCCCTGCGATAGTCGAGATGCCGAGGTGACAAACTAGCACGAGATCGGACGACGTTCGATTCCCGCATAAAGACGAGGAAAAAAAACTTTTTTTCATAAATTTAAAAATTGAGCGCCGCGCGATACAGCGGTGGCGCCATCTTCCATCCTGCGCGCGCACCACACACACCTCTCCATTACAACAATAAGCGAGAGCGAGACGACAAACAGGGATCCAAAAACGCCACGTGTTAGACAAGGAGAGCGATACCGTTTCAGTAGACCGGAAGTCCATAAGATTTACACGGAGCTTGTGTGACGTCAGCCCCATTTATTAACTACTTTGGATAACTGATTTTTTTCAATTTGCTTCCTAATTTTTGACATAACTCATGCGTTATTAGATTGCTTTGCGAACCACAATCTAACATTACCCGACACTCATGGTACGTACCCTTTGCGTCTGCTATATTTACAAGCGCTGTAATCAACAGTGCCGTTACGTTGGTACCATTTGATAAAGACAATGCCGAATTATTATTGGATTGTCTGCTATCGTGTATTAACGAATGATGTTTCATGCGGCATTCTTTGCACCTACTTTTAGAAAAACACTTTACGGCAATATGATTTGGCCGCAAACAATTTGCACACAAGTGGCCTTTATTTACGTGTTGAATTTTCAGATTTATCGGCAAATTATTAAACTCCGGGCACTTATAAATGAGATGAGAATCGGCGTTACAATAATAACAATGAACTGCTTTATTCGTGACCGTTTGAATGATAGGTCGGTATTTATTTGAGTTATTATTATTTACATGTTTATTCGACTGCTGAAATTTATGAGTACTGACATCATTGTGAGACTTATTATTTATATACTGAAAGGATTCTAAAAATTCACACCGTTTTTCTAGGAAAGTTATTAGTTCCTTTAATGTAGGTAATTCGGAGGTTAGTGTGGCCTGCCATTCCCTTTTAGTGGTGTAATCCAATTTTTCACCAATGAATGGCACAATTAACCCATCCCATGCATCAACATTTAATTTTTGAACTCTAAGGGCTTCTATATTACTACTAACATCTATTACTAATTTACGCAGAGCAACTGAATTAGTCTTAGTGACAGTAGGTGTGTTTAAAATATTTAAAACGTGCTCTTGAGCAATTAGCCTGGCATTATTGTACCGTCTTTTCAACAGATCGTACGCGGATTTATAATTTTCGGCAGAAATAGTTAATGCCTCGATGGTGGCCAGCGCCTCGCCCTTTAGTGATGATTTCAAGTAGTGAAATTTCTGACACTCATTTAAGTTGTTATTAGTATGTATCAAGGACTCAAATGTATCTTGAAATGATACCCATTGTGAATGAGACCCAGAAAATATTGGTAAATTCAATGATGGAAGTTTTACCACCGAATTGGATTGAGTACCACCATCATTTGCTTCAGAAGTTGAAGGCTGGGAAGTGTTTACTTTAAGAGAAAGTTTATGTTTACTGAGATTAGCCTTAATATCGGCTAAAGCGTTATAATATTGTATTTCAACTGTTTCTCGATCGTTATCGTTCTCATCCAATACTTCAATTTGATCTTGATATTGTTCAAATTCTTTCATTGCGTTTTCCAAAGTTTGCAACCTAGCTTCCAGCTGATACACATTATCAGTTGGTTTAAATGCTTTAGCAAAGGACTCGATCCTTGTAATTTTGGATTTAACAGTGCCCCGTTTTTGTCTTAAACTTGCTAACTCAGCCATTGTGATATAATTAAATAATATAATAAATGAAATATTAAACTTATTAGGAGTTGTAGATAAATCACTCCACGTGCTGGCTCCAGACAAACTTGACACAAATCAACGTTGCTGGATAAATGAAAGAAAGGAAATTGGGACTTACTGCTTGGCGTTGTTATAGATGGACCACGTGGTGACGTCGCGTGCACTCGTGTTCGCTGAATATCCGGCTCTAACGGACCAAAATGTGGCGTCGTGCCGTTCTTCGAAGGACCGTAATAAATACTCGATTGTTTAAACACTTATATTACATTATATATATATATATCACAAGTTGTATGTATTAGAGGGCATCGCGCCCGTACCGCCGTCGCGTTCGGTGGTTCTTGTCGTTCTTGAATGTTGTTGTCGAATGAATTCGGGAGAAAGCGCCCTCCGTCCGGTGGCTGGTGTGGTGGGGTGCTTACCCTAGGGCAGGACCGGGCTTGCCCGGCTGGTCTGATTCAGGCCCGTACCGAACAAATACAGTTTCTAGCTAAAATTTGATGGTTTCGTTGCACTTTCCGAGCCCGTAGGGTATCTGATTGGCTTAAAAGTACAAGAAAACACTTCAAAAGTGACGTTTCTGAAGAATTTTAACAGTTTTCTTGTATCTACGAACGCCAGAATGCATAAAATTGACCTAAACGTCTCCTTTTCCTATTCTGTGTCGATTCTGCATGCTTTAAGTGTGTTTGGTGGCTCAGAACCATCAAAAAACGTTGAAATATAGTTCAAATTCAATAAAAATCGACAAAAATACAGTTTCTAGCTAAAATTTGATGGTTTCGTTGCACTTTCCGAGCCCGTAGGGTATCTGATTGGCTTAAAAGTACAAGAAAACACTTCAAAAGTGACGTTTCTGAAGAATTTTAACAGTTTTCTTGTATCTACGAACGCCAGAATGCATAAAATTGACCTAAACGTCTCCTTTTCCTATTCTGAGTCGATTCTGCATGCTTTAAGTGTGTTTGGTGGCTCAGAACCATCAAAAAACATTGAAATATAGTTCAAATTCAATAAAAATCGACAAAAATACAGTTTCTAGCTAAAATTTGATGGTTTCGTTGCACTTTCCGAGCCCGTAGGGTATCTGATTGGCTTAAAAGTACAAGAAAACACTTCAAAAGTGACGTTTCTGAAGAATTTTAACAGTTTTCTTGTATCTACGAACGCCAGAATGCATAAAATTGACCTAAACGTCTCCTTTTCCTATTCTGAGTCGATTCTGCATGCTTTAAGTGTGTTTGGTGGCTCAGAACCATCAAAAAACGTTGAAATATAGTTCAAATTCAATAAAAATCGACAAAAATACAGTTTCTAGCTAAAATTTGATGGTTTCGTTGCACTTTCCGAGCCCGTAGGGTATCTGATTGGCTTAAAAGTACAAGAAAACACTTCAAAAGTGACGTTTCTGAAGAATTTTAACAGTTTTCTTGTATCTACGAACGCCAGAATGCATAAAATTGACCTAAACGTCTTCTTTTCCTATTCTGAGTCGATTCTGCATGCTTTAAGTGTGTTTGGTGGCTCAGAACCATCAAAAAACGTTGAAATATAGTTCAAATTCAATAAAAATCGACAAAAATACAGTTTCTAGCTAAAATTTGATGGTTTCGTTGCACTTTCCGAGCCCGTAGGGTATCTGATTGGCTTAAAAGTACAAGAAAACACTTCAAAAGTGACGTTTCTGAAGAATTTTAACAGTTTTCTTGTATCTACGAACGCCAGAATGCATAAAATTGACCTAAACGTCTCCTTTTCCTATTCTGAGTCGATTCTGCATGCTTTAAGTGTGTTTGGTGGCTCAGAACCATCAAAAAACTTTGAAATATAGTTCAAATTCAATAAAAATCGACAAAAATACAGTTTCTAGCTAAAATTTGATGGTTTCGTTGCACTTTCCGAGCCCGTAGGGTATCTGATTGGCTTAAAAGTACAAGAAAACACTTCAAAAGTGACGTTTCTGAAGAATTTTAACAGTTTTCTTGTATCTACGAACGCCAGAATGCATAAAATTGACCTAAACGTCTCCTTTTCCTATTCTGAGTCGATTCTGCATGCTTTAAGTGTGTTTGGTGGCTCAGAACCATCAAAAAACATTGAAATATAGTTCAAATTCAATAAAAATCGACAAAAATACAGTTTCTAGCTAAAATTTGATGGTTTCGTTGCACTTTCCGAGCCCGTAGGGTATCTGATTGGCTTAAAAGTACAAGAAAACACTTCAAAAGTGACGTTTCTGAAGAATTTTAACAGTTTTCTTGTATCTACGAACGCCAGAATGCATAAAATTGACCTAAACGTCTCCTTTTCCTATTCTGAGTCGATTCTGCATGCTTTAAGTGTGTTTGGTGGCTCAGAACCATCAAAAAACGTTGAAATATAGTTCAAATTCAATAAAAATCGACAAAAATACAGTTTCTAGCTAAAATTTGATGGTTTCGTTGGACTTTCCGAGCCCGTAGGGTATCTGATTGGCTTAAAAGTACAAGAAAACACTTCAAAAGTGACGTTTCTGAAGAATTTTAACAGTTTTCTTGTATCTACGAACGGCAGAATGCATAAAATTGACCTAAACGTCTCCTTTTCCTATTCTGAGTCGATTCTGCATGCTTTAAGTGTGTTTGGTGGCTCAGAACCATCAAAAAACGTTGAAATATAGTTCAAATTCAATAAAAATCGACAAAAATACAGTTTCTAGCTAAAATTTGATGGTTTCGTTGCACTTTCCGAGCCCGTAGGGTATCTGATTGGCTTAAAAGTACAAGAAAACACTTCAAAAGTGACGTTTCTGAAGAATTTTAACAGTTTTCTTGTATCTACGAACGCCAGAATGCATAAAATTGACCTAAACGTCTCCTTTTCCTATTCTGAGTCGATTCTGCATGCTTTAAGTGTGTTTGGTGGCTCAGAACCATCAAAAAACTTTGAAATATAGTTCAAATTCAATAAAAATCGACAAAAATACAGTTTCTAGCTAAAATTTGATGGTTTCGTTGCACTTTCCGAGCCCGTAGGGTATCTGATTGGCTTAAAAGTACAAGAAAACACTTCAAAAGTGACGTTTCTGAAGAATTTTAACAGTTTTCTTGTATCTACGAACGCCAGAATGCATAAAATTGACCTAAACGTCTCCTTTTCCTATTCTGAGTCGATTCTGCATGCTTTAAGTGTGTTTGGTGGCTCAGAACCATCAAAAAACGTTGAAATATAGTTCAAATTCAATAAAAATCGACAAAAATACAGTTTCTAGCTAAAATTTGATGGTTTCGTTGCACTTTCCGAGCCCGTAGGGTATCTGATTGGCTTAAAAGTACAAGAAAACACTTCAAAAGTGACGTTTCTGAAGAATTTTAACAGTTTTCTTGTATCTACGAACGGCAGAATGCATAAAATTGACCTAAACGTCTCCTTTTCCTATTCTGAGTCGATTCTGCATGCTTTAAGTGTGTTTGGTGGCTCAGAACCATCAAAAAACGTTGAAATATAGTTCAAATTCAATAAAAATCGACAAAAATACAGTTTCTAGCTAAAATTTGATGGTTTCGTTGCACTTTCCGAGCCCGTTGGGTATCTGATTGGCTTAAAAGTACAAGAAAACACTTCAAAAGTGACGTTTCTGAAGAATTTTAACAGTTTTCTTGTATCTACGAACGACAGAATGCATAAAATTGACCTAAACGTCTCCTTTTCCTATTCTGAGTCGATTCTGCATGCTTTAAGTGTGTTTGGTGGCTCAGAACCATCAAAAAACTTTGAAATATAGTTCAAATTCAATAAAAATCGACAAAAATACAGTTTCTAGCTAAAATTTGATGGTTTCGTTGCACTTTCCGAGCCCGTAGGGTATCTGATTGGCTTAAAAGTACAAGAAAACACTTCAAAAGTGACGTTTCTGAAGAATTTTAACAGTTTTCTTGTATCTACGAACGCCAGAATGCATAAAATTGACCTAAACGTCTCCTTTTCCTATTCTGAGTCGATTCTGCATGCTTTAAGTGTGTTTGGTGGCTCAGAACCATCAAAAAACGTTGAAATATAGTTCAAATTCAATAAAAATCGACAAAAATACAGTTTCTAGCTAAAATTTGATGGTTTCGTTGCACTTTCCGAGCCCGTAGGGTATCTGATTGGCTTAAAAGTACAAGAAAACACTTCAAAAGTGACGTTTCTGAAGAATTTTAACAGTTTTCTTGTATCTACGAACGCCAGAATGCATAAAATTGACCTAAACATCTCCTTTTCCTATTCTGAGTCGATTCTGCATGCTTTAAGTGTGTTTGGTGGCTCAGAACCATCAAAAAACGTTGAAATATAGTTCAAATTCAATAAAAATCGACAAAAATACTGTTTCTAGCTAAAATTTGATGGTTTCGTTGCACTTTCCGAGCCCGTAGGGTATCTGATTGGCTTAAAAGTACAAGAAAACACTTCAAAAGTGACGTTTCTGAAGAATTTTAACAGTTTTCTTGTATCTACGAACGCCAGAATGCATAAAATTGACCTAAACGTCTCCTTTTCCTATTCTGAGTCGATTCTGCATGCTTTAAGTGTGTTTGGTGGCTCAGAACCATCAAAAAACGTTGAAATATAGTTCAAATTCAATAAAAATCGACAAAAATACTGTTTCTAGCTAAAATTTGATGGTTTCGTTGCACTTTCCGAGCCCGTAGGGTATCTGATTGGCTTAAAAGTACAAGAAAACACTTCAAAAGTGACGTTTCTGAAGAATTTTAACAGTTTTCTTGTATCTACGAACGCCAGAATGCATAAAATTGACCTAAACGTCTCCTTTTCCTATTCTGAGTCGATTCTGCATGCTTTAAGTGTGTTTAGTGGCTCAGAACCATCAAAAAACGTTGAAATATAGTTCAAATTCAATAAAAATCGACAAAAATACAGTTTCTAGCTAAAATTTGATGGTTTCGTTGCACTTTCCGAGCCCGTAGGGTATCTGATTGGCTTAAAAGTACAAGAAA